ACCAGAGTGCCAGCTGCTGGCTCCGCCTACCCACTGCAGACCTCTGGTGTCAAGTCAACATGACATGACACTGGTCTTTGGTGAAGGTCCCACTGAGCCCACGCTGCCCTCAGTCCGTTTGTTCTCGGGTCTGTGTCAGAATGGGTCTAAAATCTTGGCCCAGTGAAGCTCAGACATCAGAGATGTGAGAGCTGGATGCTCAGCGACCATGATTTCAGTCCAAGAAATGGCCACACAGAAGCCGAGTTCGGTTAAAACTGTTTGAGTGTTTGTTCTCTTGGAGTGTTCATCAGAGCAGAAACCAGACAGTGATATGAACCTTTACACTTCTTCTCTGGTTCTGTCCCATTCAAAAACAAACCAATCAACACTTCTACAGCTCACTGTGCAACATGTTGTTTTGTCTGACACAAATGTAAAAGGCACAGATTGTGGTTTTCAACAATCGTAAAAATTACGACATTTAGGCCAGTTTCAGACTCAATGCTAACTATGTAAACTTAGCTGTAAATGCAAAGGTCACGCAAGAATTTATGTGCATAAACAGCAGATGCAACACACCACTCACACAACAGGGGGCAAGAGTCACTCACGGTCCTAATCAAGTCACGTGATTGCTCAGGTAGAAATGAACAATGCTGCTGAAAACGAGTGCATCATTTTGCTTCTGCTAAATCATCACTGGTAAAAGAAAAAAACAAGGTTTGTGTTTGCCGTATTAGAAAGATGCTGATAATCACTGCCAAACGTTGACCGGGATGTGTGTGCCCTTGTGGCTGTCGCTCCAACATGTTTCTAGGCTTACCAGGCACAAGTTTAAAAAACAATTAGGGGATACGTTTAACATTTTTATAAAGTCTGTGCCTATGTACATAAAGCTTAGGCTAAATCAGAATGTTTGAAAATCAACTACAGAGTGTTACCTTTCAAAAGAGGCCAGAGACATGAAGGTTACACTTGGGGTTCAACATTGGTAGTTATTTTATTCTGGGTAAGATGTTTTTGGACTTGTGCACAAACAAAAGAGTGCTGGCCAGTTATGATGCTACTGTGGTTAATGCATTTAAACCCTTTAGAATTTTTAAGTTTGTCTTTAAACATATAAATAATGTGAAAGCGTCATAAGGAGATTTCTAGGCCTTGGTGGTAATAATCAGTGAATACTCAGCGGGGATGACGTGCTGCAGCTCAAAGCACGTCTGCCCGACCGGCAGTGCTTAGGGTTGAAAAAACAAAACAAAAAGCTAAAGAAAGTTATGTAATATTTAGTGTAACCACGTGTGTGCACACACAATGTGCTACATTTCCATCATTGATGTGAGATCGACTGATCTTTTTTACCTGTGAAGACGTCTCATTCTCTTGTTCTGTTGTTCTGTTTTGTGACAGAAGCATTTGGTCCGCGGGCTGCAGGGAGGTCACAAACCCGACAGCAGCCACTTTCATTTTGTCCCGTCATCAATTTAAATCACAGAGTTTTGTTGTTTTTTGTTTGTTTGTTTTTTCACAGAGTTAACGTTAGTTAGCGATGCGACAAGGAACCCCACTGACATATATTCAAATCCTAAAACTGAAAACCCATTTCCTACTCAACAAACGACTATTCCAGTACTTGGATATTCAGGTCCAGCCCTAGAGATTTAACAATAAAGGTACTGTTATCTGTGATCCTGGGCCTGGTCTTTCTTGGTGTGGGATTGAAACCAAACGACGTGGTCTTGTCCACTGCTGCCCAGCAGCAGCAACAAGGTCTAGGACTGATTGAGATATTAATGGGTAACGGATCAGACCCATATGAGACTCCAGCTGTGGTGTTTTAAAGTTTTGGATAACCAAATGTGTTTCCTACACTGATACAGTACTTGTTAGTTGGATCCGTTGATTGCTGGCTTTTACAAATTTTTTTTTTTTTTTTTGCGACAAGGAAAATGCAGAACATCACCAAACACTTCAGGCCATGTGATTTTGATCTGCCACAGCTTATATGAAAATCTTAGTTGCTTGGAGGCTTTGGCAGGTTGCATTCTTGCTGTAAGTGATATTTGTGTCCAGTCCCACTCTGACCAACAGCAGAGTCCATCTTTGATTCTAAAACCTGAGCTCAGCGTCCTGCAGGAAACCGTGTGGTTTATCCTGGTGGCATTAAGTAAAGTGAACCTGAGCCGTGTGGTGCAGGACAGGTGTGCGACTCTGGACGGAAGGTGGAACCTGTAGCATGCATTTTGAAGCCTGATTTAAAATGCTGAGAAACGCACAGCGGAGAATGAAGCCAGCTGACTCTGAAACCTGAGCTCAGCTTCCTGCAGGAAACTGTTTCTCACCTGTGTGAGACATGTCGATTCATTAGCTGATATGTTTTGAGGTGAGCCAAGCTGGCGGGCTCTACAAGAACATGGCGGCGAGGCCGTTCCCCCGATCAGCCTGGATGGATTGAATTTCAGCCGGCCGGCCTCTTTAATGACCCCTTTCCCTGGCTGACACTCAGCCCACCGATAACAACAGAGCCTGTGATCCAGAGCGACCCTCCTTTCACATTCCTGCCAGACTCCGGGGCCGCCCTGCCCTGAAAGAGCCTCCAATCTGTCGGACATCTGCAGCCGATCTTACCTTGTCATTAGAAACAGACCGCTGGATCGGCCTGCCACCGACACGGCTCGCTTCTCACTTTCTCCCAGTCCCACCTTGCTCTCAGGGGACCCAGGGCAGGGCCGGGACCCAGTGTTGGGGATCTCCAGGGAGAAGAAACCCCACCATCGTTACCTGTGGGAGGGCGGATCAGGGTAGAGGAGGAGGTGGGGGGGTGTCTCCTGGGATAACCGGCCTCCTATTGTTCCTGAGAAGAGAGAGGGAGCTCAGGAGAGTGGGATGGTCAGACTGGTTTGACTGGCAACAGAGCTAAAGACAGAGGCGGCTGTCAAACTGCACCTTAGAGAAAAACCTTTAAGTTCTCCACAGTGGGCCCAGAATGTGAGACCTGACAGAGAATCCAGAAGCTGTTCCTGCAGGAGCTACAACTGAACAGAAACCAGTATGGTTTCAGAAAAACATCACCTGAGTCAAGATAACTTAAAGAACCTTAAACAAAGTGTTTCTCATTACAAACCGCTGCCTGGTGATGCACAGGTGCAGAGCAGGACACTTTGCAGTGCGCATTCCTGTGGACATTTGCTCTTGGCCTGATTTTCCTGGTTTGGTCTTGGATCTTTCATTCCAGTGAAGACATGTATCATGATGTTTTAGACCAGTGGTTCTGAGGTTTGCATGATCAGTTTGAGGTGTCATAAAACCAGCAGACAAATCATATTCCTGTCACACAGTTGTGCTTTTCAGACTTTGTTCTAAATGAATAAAATTGTACACAAGGAGGAGTGAGTGGATGAGTGGTGGCCCCCGACCAGTGTTGATAGTGTAACTGGCTTTTTTATGAAGGAATGGAGAACATGAAGCCGAATGACAAAGAAGCTTAGCTGAAGTGACAACAGCCACATTTTCAAGTATCTTTTAGCCATGCTAACAGCAAAGCGTGAGGAGCTAGCAGACTGTAAACACAGCAGAGCTCTCGCTCATGCACAGCTGACTGTTTAGTTCACATGCTGTACAATGTTACACTCATTAGGAGATGCTGGGGCAACATGTTTAACAAATATACGGGTCTGGTGTTTCGTAACAAAGAAACGTGTCACCCAGTGCAGCAGGGTGTTTCACTGTTGTTTTTAATGGAACAATAGCGAAGGACTGTGGCACAGATGGATAAGATAATCCAGGACTGGTAGGTATTAACTGTGGTTAGAAGCAATTCATGGCAGGTTGTAATCTCTGTTGAAAATACTACTGATATAGAAATGACCAGGCTTATCCTTTAAGTCGAGCTCAAATACTGCAACAAATGAACAGAGATGTTCAGCATGTCTGTGAATCAGTTTTTTGTTCTGTTAGTCCACAGTCTGCAGTCAGCCACGGTTTCATTATAAAAACATAACAAGGGTGTAAAAGTTCACTGTGCGGTCGACATGAGGCATGTTCAACAGCTGCTCTGTTGGTCTACACTCTGTGTATTCAATAATCATGGATGTTGTCCACCCTGCTCTCTGGCATTGTCGTGTTGCTTTAGGAGCAGCAGGAGTTGAGCAGGTATCTGTGACAGGACAGAGTTCTTCATTTGGATGTAACGAGGTGAGCTGAAGACTTGGGGCAGAAACGTACATCATGCCCAGTTTTGGTGAAATTTGCTCTGAAGACCAACAAGCACAGCTGACTTTTAGCGCCATGACAGAGAAAATGAGTGACTTTATTACTATTTGTGTGAAAAACATTTCATAACTTGTAAAATTCATCAACAGGCACATATAATATTCTCCATGATAAATCTGAGAACATTTTCACAGTTTGTTAATCACAAGTGCATTCACCCTTTTCTCATGGTTTATAGATTTAAAGATGCATGTTGTGAAATACAAGACTGCATGTGAAAACATTTTTCTTTAGCTCGTGAGGATCTGTAGGAGACAACGAAACTTTAAAAACAATTTAAACAATTTAATCCATGTTAAAGTCATTCGTGTATATCAGGACATTAAGATAAACGATGATTCTATATGTGAACTATAAAATATGTCTCAAAGTGCATTTTGAAATTTGCCAATTTGGAATTTCTCAAATTAATTGAGTTGAGAAAATTCTCATACTTTATAAACAAAAGAAATGATTTAAAACGTGTTGGATTATCTATAAGATTTTCACAAAGCTGAAAACGCATCAGTTTCTCCTGGTTCATGAAGTGTCGACCTGTCTGAGGTTCTTCCTCTCACAGGACAGTGACGACACTGAAACTCTTGTTTTCATGTGAAATGTCCACTAACCACATATGGCAGCGTGAATTCGTGGTGACCAGTTCAAGTGTTTCATACATGTCTGGTACAAATAGAAGCTGCACTGAAGAGACCATGTGCTCTGTGAGAAATTCAACAGGGTGTTTACCTCGTAGCTCAACAAGCTAGTCAGAGTGGACGGCTAAATGCTAAAAAGGCTACAGATTCATTTCTAAGATTTAGGTGGTGGTGTGTAAACGGGGTTAGCGACAACGGCAGTGACATTTTGTAAAGATGGTGACAGCTTTAATATTCAGCCGCTGTATTTGTATCTAATGTAATTTTTGTCACTTAAGGCGACACCTAATCTGTATTAGCTAGTTTGTTTTTGTTGCGAGGCAGCTATCATTCTGTGGCAGCATCTTGTATCCTAATCCCTTTTTTCATTGTCTTTGATATAACAAGGGACACAAATCTGCACAGGTGTCATCATCATTATTTTAGGTGGCAGTTTAGGCAGTTCTGTTATTTTAATCTTACACTCATTGTGTGTTTTTCTTTAAATTAACTGCATACAAACCTCAAATGTTTATGTCAGACCTGAACCGTATTCCATATAGTTCGGAATGAGGTTTAGAACATTTCGGCAGAGTTGGTTAGTTTCGTGGTACCAAAGGTTTAACAAGTAATCTTTTCCATGTATCCAGTACTTGAATTGCTAAATTCTCCAGTACGCTGAGTTACGTTAAACAAAGTGCAAACCTTTAGCTTCCATGATATAAAAATAAGATCCATATTGACGTCAGTATCATTCAGTAATTTGTACACCAAAGACTGTGAAGGCACACCGTAGAAGCAGAAAGCATGAACTGGCTTAAGGTTTCAACAAAAAGAAGGCAGGCAGTCTTTTCATCTACCCAGAGTTCATGTCCTGTAAATCAAAGGTGAAGATTGTTTTAAGGCAGTTTTACACTGGCAATTCAATTAACTGCTGCTTGCATGTTTTATGGCCTCTTATCTTGCTATTTCTGTAATCTTGTTTAAGAAGTACCACACTGCAGGTCTACAGCCAAGTCTAACAAACCAGAGACCAGTTCATCACTAGTGCACTGCCCTAAAGGTTTGGCCCTGGAGGCTTGTTCAGGCGCTTTTAATGCCCTTTGAAGGGAAGGTGCCAGGCTGCTTAGGGCCCCTGTCTGGGCACCCAGGTGAAGTTCCACCTTCCCTCAGTGTCCTTTCTGATGAAGGCTTGTCCCTGGGGGAAGCTGTGGGTCTTGACGCGGCTGGACGGGCTGAGGGACATACTGAATGCCAAGTCTGTCTGGCTGTGAGGCGTCTGAGGTGTGGCAGGAGGCTGAGCTCCATTTGACGGGCTCTTTAGTTTCAAGGCTCTGACAGGAGTCCAGGGTTGATTTGTGACTGGACTCGCACATGAAATGGGAGAGAAACTGACTTTTTCTTTTGGTGGACTGAACTGGTTTGTGTCCTGTGATGGTGTCCGGCCACCCTGCACTGAAGACCAGTACACTGACTGTTCTCCTGGGTTCCCCTGCAGAGTTTGGGCTTGACTCGAGGCAGTGATAGAACAGATCTCTGCACTGTCTGGTGACTGCGCTAGGGGCACTTCTTTTGTCACTGGTGCAGATTGAAAAGTGTTGTAGGTCCTGATTCCAGTGTCAGGACCTTCATATTGTCCTGGAGAGGTTGTGCAGTCCTGAGGTGACTGGGCAGGATTACCACAGTTTGCCTCGTGGCATTGGACAGAATTGTACCTATACTCAGCCTGATGTGTCGCACTTTGGCAGTAGCTGTGGACAGAGGAAGGTATAGAGGTGGCAACTGAAGGCCTGAAAGAGGAGCTGAGAGTATATTCGCAAGAAATGGAGCCTGCGGTGTCATAAACTACACTTCTAAGGTTGTATCCAGATGAGGATGAGGATTCGTTGGACGTATCGATGGTGTCTCGGTCCTTCAGTCCCAGTGTTCTTAGAACCCAGAGATCCAGGTTTGGTTCAGAGAAGGCGGATGTCTCACAGGAATCAGAACTGAACTCGGCAGTGAGGTTCCTGCAGACTCTCTTGCTGACGTGCTGGGAGGCCACGGGCTGCTGGCCACAGCTCTGTAAATGATCATCATGGATGTACGCCAGGTTTCTCTTCAGTTTCCTCCTCCCATCAGCGGTTAGCTTCTAGGAGAGAGGAACAAGAACCAAGTGAGTGACTCATTCTTATGGTTTTATTAACAGATTTTATTAGGTCTCAGAGACCAGTGGTGAACTGGAAAGAAGCTTTGGTATTGTTGAGTAAAGTTCACAGTTTATCAGTGAGTGATCACTTGGTCTTTCAGGTGCAGACGTTTGAAACCTCTTTGAGGGTGACAATTAACCACAGTTGCATAAAATTGAATGTGACAAATCTGGCTGAACTAATGACATTTGTTCTTGTTCATGTTGAATAAATCAATCAACTTTCACAGGTGTTGGTTTAAAAATATAGATGTTGTGTTTTAGTTATTTTGCATTTGAAAATAAAACCTTGGCAAACGATAATAAAACATGGAATGTGTTTACAGTTTAATCTGCAATGTGAACTTTACAAGGTTTTAGATTTATGGAAACAACAGTGTTGCACACTTGTGGAATATAGAAAAAAGTCCAGGCATCCCAACCTCTACTGTTTGATTGTGTCTGTGGTGAAAAGTGCGATACAGTTAATGGTGACTGTGGTGAACAGACCTTGGCTTTTTCCTCCAGGTTCCTGACAAAGAACGAGTTGAGGAACTGTCTGAGTTTGCTGTTCTCCTCCTGAAGCCTGGCCAGCTCCTCCTCTCTCTGCAGCAGAGTGTCCTGCAGCTGGGAACCGTTTCAAAACAACGTCAAACACACGTCAGGACTCGACAGCATTACAGGGTGCTGATCGCTGAAAATCAGACATTTTGGGAAGTCCTCTCATTCAGTACTGCAAAAACCAAAAGGTTAAGAGGACAGAAATCCCGAGACAAACTGTACTGTTCTACCTGGGCAGCTGTGGCCCTGGGGTGGAGCAGGTCAGCATCTAATCTCTCTAATCTCTCTCAGTATCTAATCAGTATCTAATAGGTGCAGTCCATTTCCATATAGTTTAGTGCTGAGTTGCTCCTGTTTTGGACCCACTCTCTGCAGTGACTGTAGTTATTGTTGCTGTAAACAGACACACCCTGATGCCACACAGTGTGTAATGCTGTTGTGTTTGTACCTGTTTGTTTCTGTGGAGGTGAGGGGAGAGCTGCTCTGTCCACATCAGACCAGCAGGAGGAGAGCCGTTGACAACACACTGCGACTCTGACACACACAGACAAACAGTTTGCCATTATATTATCTGTTTTATAAAACTCTAAACTAACAATATGAGGTGACTGAGACACCTGTCATTGAAAACAACAATGGCAGAACTCGCTCCTAACTAGACCAGCAGAAATAGTCCGTTCTAATGAAATCAGGATTATTACTTTAAGCAGAATTTACTGGAGGTGGAGAAGATCTGAACTATTTTTAAATGGTTGCATAGCTAAGATTGAAAACTGTGTTTTACTGTTGCTTTTGTGTTGAGGCTGTCTTGTCTGTTACGTGTCTGAACTGAGTAGAAATGTAAATCCAAATACAATGGAAATGCTCATGTAAAGTACAAGTGCCCCAGTTTGTTTATTTTTTTTTATTTTACTCCCACTAGGTGCAGCACTGGAGTGTATGGAAATCAGCTTCTTCTTCATTGACTGTGTGCTTTTAACAGTCAAAACACTTGTAGCCAGTAGCATCACCCCGTGGCCATCAGAAGAACTGCATCTTGGGATCGTAGCAGTCTGAGGTTTCCCAGTGAGGACAAACCAGCTGAAGTTACATTTCACAGCCACTTGATGAACTGAACACTCAGAACCATGGTGAGAATTAAAAGGTGAATGTTAATAGAAACCATTCCAGATGTTTTCAGCAGCAGCAGTGTGGTGGAGACAGGTCGCTCGTGTGGAACCTTCCAGAGGTGTTTTACTCAGTTCAGAGAGAAAACCAGAAACCTCTTCTGTGTGATAAATGAATCCCATCTGCTGAATGTGGCATTCAGAGAACAGCTGAAATATTGTAAATGAAGAGAAGACCTGAGTCAGCACAGTAACCCTGTGGCTGGGTGATAACCCTCCTGTCCAGGCTGGAACTGCAGTGTTTCTAAAGCCCTTAAAGAGCTGGTGTTACGGCACTTTGTGACCCATCTTTCTATAGAGCGGGTTGTTTCCTAAGCGGGGGGTTAGTGGTTCGATTCCCGGCTTGTCCAGTCAACATGTCAAAGTGTCCTTGAGCAAGACACTGAACCCCCAGTTGCTCCAGGTGATGTCACCGGTGTGTGAGCGTTTGGAAGTGTGAATGGGTGAATGGCCGAATAATGTGAAAGCGCTTTGAATGTGCTGTAAAGTATAGAAAGGCGCTGTACAAGTATAAGACCATTTACCAGACCATTTTCAACATGCTGAAAAATGACCTGTACACAGGAAACAAAACAGGCACAAGCGCATGGCCCAACACAGCAGGGCCGAACCCCGGTGGACCAGAGTCAGCAGTCCACCTCCACCTAAAGGACATTCTTCTGAGGACAGTGAAGTCCAGATCCTCTCCAGACTTTTGTCGATACCAGGCCCCAATGACTCGGTTAGAGGACATCGTTGGCTGTCGAAGGACTGAAACACCACCCAGTAAATACCTCTTGCTCACCACCAGTCAGGCAGACCTGATGAAGCATCTTGGATGAGAAACGTCTTCTACCTAAAACTACGTCCAGATGCTTTCTTCTAAGTTTTTTTCACCGGATGACTGAGAATTTGCACGGACATTTTCAACATGTCTCTTATTCATGCCAAGTTGTTCAGATTTCTCTCCCCTCTGTTCTCCAGCAGCTGTTTCACAAGATATTAACAAACTGCTATTACTCCTGAGCACCTATTCTGATTGGCTGGAGGTGATGACAATCAGAATAGGACCCAATGAATATTGTAAATGTACTACAGTCGCTCTTTACATTGTGTAACGGCTGCAACTGGACATGACAGTATGAGATGAACCAGACTGATGCTGAATGGGAAGGACAGGAGCTGTTACAGTAGCTCAGCTTTAGCACAGTTATTTAGCCCCCTACACGCTCAGCACGGCGCTGCGCTGGGGCTTCGCTTATCCTGGCATATCCAGTTTTACTGCTGCTGTGACGTCAAGCACAGTTTCAACACTGATTGCTTTCCATGTCGAAGAAGCAAAATTTTGAATGACTTAAAAACAGCTCGGTACTTTCTGAGGTACTTTTACATGACATTTTATGCATCTGCGCTGGCGACAGCCAAATCAAATCAAGCTTATTTATACAGCCCTTTAAAAACAACATCCTGCTGACCAAAGTACTTTACATAGGCAGAATGAAATCACGATAAATAACTAAAATAAAATAAATAGGTTCAGTGCAAAAATAAAACACAATAACTCAGACACACAGATGACACAAACTCATTTTGGTTTTGGGTCGTCCACCTGTACACACATGCGTACACCCATGAATGCCTTGAGGGAATTTCTGCACATTAATTATCCTTAATACTTCTTATTAAAGTCCTTCAGCGTCTTCACTACATACAAGTCTGGACAGATGTGTGTGAACTGTAATTCAACTGGCAGGAGGAGGCAGTAGCTACTTCTATTCTGCTTCGTATCGGAGGAAATATTTGTCCTTTTACTGCACTACATTAAGAGTGTACTAAAAACGTATGCAATCACCTTATAACTTACTAACAACAAACTATTCTTTTCCTTCAAGGCTTTGATGAAATGTTTCATAGTTGTTGTTGGTTATTTAGACTCACCCCACACAGACAGCGGCTCGTGCTGCCTGTCTCCGAGGTCGCAGGGGTCACCGGCCCAAAGAGAGGCCAGGGCTGCCATGGAAACGTCAACAGAGTCGGGGCAAAGGGCCAGGTCCTGGAGCATGAGGTGACGCGGAGGAGGAGAGGGATTCCCTACAGAGAGAGTGTGTGTATGAATGAAGGGGTGGGACGAGCGCCAGCTGACTGTGTTGATATGGTGATGATCAACACTCACTCATCTTAAAGTCCTCTCTCTGATTAACGTGAACGTTAGTGAAATAACAAACAGTTACAAAACCACACGGCCAAAAGTCTGTAGACACCTGTGTCCCCTCCCTGACAGTCTCCACTCTCCTGGTTTCAGTCTGTGCACCAGATGTTGCAGCAGGGACTTGCTGAGAGCACACTGTAAATCATTTCTAGTTTGTTCAACTTAAAAAGATCCCCTGCTGCCTTAAATATGTGAGGTGGCTGCACTCAGGTTGAATACTCAAAGTGGATTTATGACTTAAAATCAGAGTTAACAAACCCGCTGATCAGTCACACTGGCAAATGATTGTTTTCCACTACATTTGATCAAGTCTTTAGGATGAAGGACTTCAGCTGCTGCAGTTGGTGTGAAGATGACACTGATATCATACATGGTGTCAGTTCACCACCGTGTTGTCTTCATTTTTATGAAAAGAAACAACTTGACTTAATGCGTTAAAAGTTTGTCTCTCATATTTTCATCAAACTTCTGAATAGAGCAGTGTTGGAGAGTGACAGAATGCATGCTGGGAAGTCTGTCAACCCGCTGATGTTTTCTATAAACCTCATTTGATTTGATGTGTGAGTCTTCACAGTTTAGACATTCAACTCGTGTTGGGTCAGAAGACATTGATACAGAAACATTCATGCTTTTAAGCTTTGATGATGTTTGAAAGTAAAAACTAGAAATTTTAAGTTAAACTGTGAACAGTGATGTGTAAATCACCTGTGTTACTTTGAAACCAATCCAGCAGAACATTACTTTGTTCAAAATAAACACTTCAATCCTGATGCTGCAGCACGTTCCAAACAAAGTTGGGACAGTGAAGCGTTTACCACGGTGTGATGCTGCCGTTCCTCTTCACAGCACTTAAAAGACTTTAGGGACTGAGGACACCAAGTGGTTCAGTGTATCAGGTGTCATTTTGTCCCATTCCCCCTGCCAACAAGTCTTACAACAGTCCTGGGTTTTCTTTAACTCAATCTATGTTTCAAAATGTACCACACATTCTCTGCTGGGGACGAGTCGGGACTGCAGGCAGTCCAGTCCAGCACTCGGCCCCTTTTCCTCCACAGCCAGGCCTTGGTAATGTGGCAGTGTGAGGTTTACATGTCTTGTTGACATCTGCATGGGCGTCCCTGGAAAAGATGTCGTCTTTAAGGCAGCATGTGTTGCTCCAACATCTCTCTGTGTTTCTCATCATTAATGGAGCCATCACAAAAGTGTGTGTGACCTTTGCCCTGGGCACTGACACGACCACAGACCATGACAGACCCTGGCTGTGGGACGTTTTGCTGCCAACAGTCTGGATGGTCCTTTTCCTCTTTAATCCGGAGCACACGTGGTCCATTCCTTCCAAAAATACCTGAAACGCTGATTGGTCTGACCAGAGTGCACGTTTCCACTGTGTGATGGTCCATCCCAGATGCCTCTGAGCCCAGAGCAGTGGACTTCTGGACACTGTTGACACAGAGCTTCCTTTTGTCACAGCACAGGTTTAAGCAGTATTTATGGATGTAACTACGTATTGTAGTGGCTGACACAGGTGAGGCACAGTCATCCTGAGCCCCTGTGGTTATATCACTGATAGAAGAGAGACGATTCTTGACGTGGTGTCGTCTGAGGGATCTGAGAGCTCGGTCATCCAGCTCAGGCTCAGACTCCTTGAATCTTTTAATGATGTTCTGCACCGTAGAAGGTGACAGATCCAAATCCCTCCTATTTTTCTTTGAGGAACATTGTTTTTAAACATTTCAATGATTCTCTCACACATATGTTGTCAAACTGGTGGTCCTCGGCCCATCTTTGCTCCTAAAGGGCTCGGCCTTTCCTGGATGGCACTGTTGTACCGAGTCGTGATGCGGTCACCTGCTGACATCACCTGTTTCACATGGAATCCTCATTTCTTTGTTTTACCTCATTACTGGCCCTGAAATGCATCTGGCCTGACTTGGTTGGACTGTGCTGCAGCATCAGGACTGAAGAGTTTACTTTGAACAGAGAATAAAACTGATGAGGTATCACATCAGAGAATGTGCTGCTGGACTGTTTTCAATGTAACACAGGACACAGATGACTTACACATCACTACTTTGAATTTTAACTTTGAGTTTACATACATAGTTTACCCAACTTTGGCTGATTTGGGGATGTAGAAGAGACGATCTGATTGCACCACACCCCTGCATCATGGCTCACAGAGGATGGTGGTGAGCTCTGGCTCACAGTCGGCTTTCCAGTTTATCCCACATGTGCTGGATTTGCAGTCAGAACAAGTTCTGCCACAACCAGAAGTTATTTTTATGGAGAGAGCTTTGTGCATGGGGGCATTGTCATGTTTTAGGGACAAACACAAACTATTAACACTACTGTCTAAAATATCGTTCTATTCAGACCCGGCCGGTGTGTCCACATATTTGTGACCACATAGTCCAACTACACCACAGACTGTCAGTCCCTAAAGAATGCTGTAATATCACTAAATCAAATGCATTAACATGAATAATGTTACAGCTAACATGTTTCTGGCGTTAAGCACTATGTATAATATATCTGACATATTAAACTATAGATAAAATAGTAGATATGTAAGGATGCGCGTTTGGAACAAGACCTGACTATTGGATTGAAATAGTTGCAGCCTTCAGAAATAAGTTGCATAAATCATAACTCTTCCGCTGTGCGCGTTCACGTGCCGTTTGAAGATCGTACTACCACAGTAGCCACCAGTCACCTCAACATCCACCTCGTTCGCCGCTGTACGGTTCCGTTTCATGCGCGAACCAATAACGTGTGACGCGGCGTTAGTGTGGTGCTGTGAACTCGGTAGGAAATCTGTTGTGATGTTCACCTATGACGGAAGGCTGAGTTCTAAAACCAATCAATAAGCGTAAAGCAAAACTAGTGTTTCAATGCGACAGTTAAGAACTCAGTTCCGCCCCTGCGTCCTCTCATGGGTCACTTGCCTGCACATAACCACAGTCCATCCTAAAAACCCTCCAGACAATTAACTGACCCTGTCTGCACCTTCTCCTCACCACACCTCCATGTGGACTGATCAGCCTTTATAGTTTAAAGCTCAGACAAGAACATGTGAACTCACTGAAGATGAGAGGTCCGAAATCTTCCTGAGATCTCCGTTTTCAGGCTGCACGTGTTGCGCCAGGCTGTGCGTAAAAGGGTTCTGCAGACTCTCCGAGCATCGGAATTAGCACGAATGAAAGGTTGAAATTTGTTTCCCTGCGCGTAAACCCTGGATGAACCTGGGCCAGAAAGTCTTCCTGATGTACAGAGGAAGACTCGTGTGTGAGACCCACCGCGGACTGAGGCTGAGTAAAAGCCTCCAGCCACTAAAGCCACAGCCGTGACAGACAGGTGTGTGCGTGTGCGTGCGTGTGTCCAATCGGCTGGTTGGTCGGAGCTGGTGACGCTGTCGGTGCTCTCTGTGGTTTGAGCTGCGAGGTGAGTCCGGGAAGAAAAGCCCGAACTGAACGGACCTAGAAGGAACCAGAGAACAGTAAACTGTAGTATTCAATAGTTCTGTAAAGAAGAGACTAGTACAAAGTACCATATACGGCAGTATAGTACTGTATCTGAATAGTGCTGTATATTTATGTAGTGCTGACTAGTACCAAAAAGCACAGTGTGGACTTACACTGGCCTTTACTATACCAGTATAGTACAAAGCAGTACCATATAGTAACATATGTGAACAGTATTAGTGCAGTACTGATACTGTAGTGTCAGTATATTACTTACAGTACTAGTACAATGCAGTGCAAAACAGCACACTCACCAGTACAGCATAATACTGTAAGGGGACAGTATACTGTTATACACCAAAGTATTGAATAGTTCTAGTGTATTACAGTATACTGTAGTATTTAACAGTACTGTACAGTACAGTGTCCTTTTCTACAGTGAAGTTATTGTGTTCCAACCAGTTTGGGATGAAGCCTGTGGATTCATGGTTCACTCACAGTAAAATATCTGCAACACTTTGGTGCATCTAGTGTGAAAAATAAAGTACTTTAAGTATTTGTGCACGACGTTCTGTCCTGAAATGTCACAATACTACATTATACTGCAGCTAATATCAAGTTTACAGGGTGAAACACAGCAGCGCCACCAGGTACTAACAGTGTTTATGTGAGTATTTCAGAGCAAAGCGACTAATTTGTGGGTTTGTGTAAAAAATCAAATAGTTTGACGCATCAGGTCAGAGCTGACCTCCACAGTGCACAGTACGAGGTAGTTGATACTATACTGCTGCGTCCACGCTCCTGATGCTCCTCTGCTGAGTTAACCTGTAATCTGACAGCAGGTCAGTTAAACTGCAGCAACAATTAGGACTCTAATTCACAAACTGACATACCAACAAGGTGACACATTAACACAGAGGAGAGGACTCAAAGAGAGCGGGAAAGGAGAGGAGAGGAGGAAACAGGAGAGGAAAAGAAAGAGGGAAGTTGGTGAGAAGACGAGTAAATCCCAACACTTTTATTTGGTTGTTCCTCGATCCTCGCTCCACACTCGACCTGGAAGTTGTTCCGATCCGCCATTGTGAAGGACGTTCCAAGGCTCTTGTTCCTGCTCTGAGGAGTGAGGAGACTGCTGGAGGAGACATGAGCAAGGATGCAAGAGGGAATTCTTTGCAGAAGTCTTTGATTGACTGACACACCCTCTATCAGAAATCCGTTGGTGATTGGACACTTCAGATGAAGGAAAGGATGTCTCATGTCTCTGACCAGACTTTTCCTCAATTCCTCTCTCCTCGCACATCTTACATGGGGGGGGGCTAAGACACATGGAAAAGACACGAGTGAGGGAAATGTGGATGTAATAAGGGATATGGAGACATGAGGAGAAAGCAGGAGACAAGAAAATGAAGAAGGAAATGACTAGAGGAGATGAGGAAAGAGAAGGTAAAAGCATAGAGAAGGAAAGAAGGATATGAGACAAGGAAATAGAGAGGAGATGAGAACAGAAAATAAGGAGAGGACAACAGGAAAAAGAAGAGGAGAGGTGACAATGGGAGACAAGATAAAAGGAAAGGAGAGGAGATAACATATGTCCTAGTTGGAATGGAGGGAAGAACATTTTTAGTTTTAGATGACAACCTGGACAGCCGGCCATTTATTTCTCTTTAAAACCAGAGGTCAGAGGTCAGTGGTGGTGGCGCCGTCACTGACCGTTTGGGTTTTGTGGTGTGTACAGAGTAGAGCAGGGATCAGGCCACATTTTTCAGTCCAAATCTGACCCGAGCCTGAGAATGTGGCGTCCAAACCTGACCCGGACCCAACAAGCTTATAGTATGTGATGTCCGAGCCCAACGCTGTTGAGTCTGTACTGTGTTTTTCCCCTTAGCGCTAAACAAAGCGGACATTTCAGTGCTCCAGCCATCCAGCCTAAAGTTTGACCTATGAGACTGAACCCGACACGGATCCAAACATAATTTCTAAATTTCTGTCCGATCCCGGCCTGAAGCCTCTGGTAACTGACAGGTCCTGTCAGGCTCGGTTCGGGTATCCACACTGTGACACAGAGTGAGCGTCCACCGCTGACCTTCAGCCTAACGAGCCGTCCCTCCTGTCGTCTGAATCACAGCAGACGTTTCTTCACCTCCAGCTGAGGCAGAAATCTGTTGCCTCCAACTACATCTGCCCCCACCCAGCCGCACCCCTGCTGGGTAACTGGTTAACCATTAAATTTGACTTTTCCCATTAGCTTTTGTGTCTGGTTAAGTGGTAATGGAGGGGGTTAATCACCTCCGCCGACAGAGGCTACGACACCTCAGATAGCTGTAGTGTGAATGCAGCGGCCATATGTGCAGGCTGCAGGACAGAGAGTGTGACTGGGAGTTTGCTGGTTTGAGTCCCCTGATCGGCTGGGATGACAACAAGCTCCTGCTGTTGTTCCACTGCTATTTGATGTTTGCGGTCCTCTTGTTCCTGAGCTGTAGGAAAAAGACAGCAGCGTTGCAGCGGCACAGTATCGAGCGACGAGGTCCACACTTTAGTTTCTATGTATTGCTGACGCTGTGTGTAGAGGGTGTTTACTGAGGCGTGTCTGTTTGATGAGGAGACAGACAGCTAAGCTCATTCAGCTGTTAGTTCACGTAACAATGGTGATGGGGATGTCGAACACCACCTAAAACTGAGCAGACACTGTATGACTTTTATTGATCATATGTGATGTGTTAGCTCACACTATACCTTTAGACTGAGCCGACCTCACGGCCACAGTCTCAGACTTCACTGCTCATACTGTGTTCACTCAGTTAGGCACAACACATTCACAGAGATGGGCTGGAGAGACAGCCAACCTGAAAGCATAATGCCTCCAGCCATGGCCATCGCCGCCACAGAGGCATAAGCGTACTCAATCACCTGCTTCAAATGTTATTACTCCATTAAATGGCTGTTATCAGTTGTTATCAGGGCCATATGTGGTCAAGTAAGACCCTGCTCCACCTCCTAGTTGGTTCAGTAGAACGTGATCATGCACCTGACCTTCATCAGCGTAGTTATAATAATACAATAAACTGCACCTACTGAGGCATAATTACATGTATGATCGCAGCTGATAACAGCCACCCAATGGGGTGATAACACTGGAAACGGCTGTCTCAGCGGACCCTGCAGATTATCCAGGTTTTGCTTTTTGTAAAACTTCTTGGCTGGTGACCAATAGGTTTTTGACGTCACATCTCACCGGTGACTTCCACATGCTCAAGGAGTGTGGGGGGGGTGTTTGGCAGACAGGGGGTGTGTGTGGGAGTGTCAGTCTGCAGCTCCTCTTTGATGTGCTTCTGTTGTTGCTCTCTCACATGCTGAGCTCTCATTTGTATCCAGTAGATCAGGACGGCTGCTGCTAATTAAAGGGAGCCTCCGGGTTGCCGTAGTTCACCAAAACCCACCCGTCAGGCAGCAGGTCGACGGATTACTGACCCTCTGTAGCCTCAAGTTCAGCAGCCAGATGGTTTTATTGAGTGAAATGTGTATCTGCTGAGGCACCTTTGAGCCAGGCGCTGGGCCAGACGGCGGTCATACTGGGCTGCTCCCAGTACAGAACGACTCCGGAACCTGCAGCAGCACTGTGTAGTAAAAGGTTAAATGATGGAAACTTTCTGATGGAATAAGTCAAATATTGTCAGTGAGAAAAGCTATGAAAAGGTTTTCCCTGTGTCCTCTACACTTTCATTTGATGGCCACAGTTGTTTTGAAGAAGTAATAGAATACATATAATCAGTTTATATTGTGTATAGTTATCGATGGAACTACCCTTCACAACTGTTGATGTCTTGTTTTCATTACAGAATCATCAAGAAGTCTATAACATGTCAGAGTAAACCCAGAGTACCCGTGGAGCTTCTCCAGCAGAGAGAGCCAGGTGTCAGAGCAGCGTTAATGTGTTAGACGTGACTTCTCAACAAACCGGCTCTGATCCTGGCAGCAGTTAGCAGCTAATTACCCCTCAGTAATGGGGCAGCAGAGCGCTACAGGTGGGCTACCTGGTGGTCTAAGTCAGGTTCAGTGAGACAGATGCTAAACCCCCACTCCCTGCTGTGGCCCTAATAACGGGGGGACGGACAGCAGGATTTGTTGGACAACAGAGCGGCGGCTCCCCGCCTGCCAGCAGCCTGTTCCCTACTGGACGTCCACACACCGACCACCACTCCCACCTCAGCTACACACTCTGACTGCACTGGTCTTTCACAGCCTGTCGCTGCAGTCCAACATGTTCACTTACAGAAACCTTAAACAGGAGCTAAAATCCACCATAGAAAGCCTTGACATAACGCTCGGAAACCCGCTGACGCTCACACAGTAGCCATTCACCACCATAATACCTGTAAACCAGTATTAGGTTACTATAAGCCTCATTACAGTACCCATATGCAACCACAGACCTTCACACAGTGACCATAAACCACGTGTGGGGAACCTGGAAGGAGTCAGTGTTACCTTAAAACTACCCTCCATGGTGCACAGTCCAGTATCCTTTAGCAGTAGCAATGAATCACCAAATAAGAAGTTCAAGGCCTCTCCAGCTTACTGCACATTGTCTACATTATAATCTTGTAACAAGTCAAGTCAGATTTATTAGTTATTACTAGAGTAATGGGCCCCATGGTGTCCAGGACACCATCACATCACAACCCTGTAGTGGTTGTGATGAGCTGGTGTCTGAGTTTCATGTGTGAAATGATTTGTGTACAGTGTGTTTGTCAGAGTGTTTTCTGGAAAGTGGATCGAAGAGAAACAGCCACTCCATAGCAGTTGGTAAATCTTTTAGATGTAAATTTAAGACTTGCTTGACTTTATTCAGAGTTTTGTCAAAGTTGTATGAGCATCGAACAATCTTGATGTTGACCATTTATATTT